AATGAATAAATTTTATATTATATTTAACAAATTTTGAAACCTACTTAAATTAATAAACAAAATTTTAACAAAAATAAATAAAATTTTTAAAATTTTAAAAAATATAAATTTCTAGAGTTCTTTTAACAAATATTCACAATTCAGTAATAAGCAGACAAACAAAATAATAACCCACATATAGTAATAAGGCGCTAAAAAATTATTTATTTCTATCGGCACTCCCCAAGTGACAACCTGCCGTTTTTTCTACAATCAGCAATACATATAAGATAAGTCAGATACTGTAGCTTTATATACATTTAAAATTATTTTTGTCATATATGATGTAAGGTTTTTGTGTCAACATCCTTGCTTCTGTCTTTATCATTTCTCTACTATGCAAGATCTTAAAGATTACACCATTACGTGTTTGTCTTCGTCTTACCACTTATTTGTTTTTCAATATTTATGCTTCCACATTCTTTCTCTGGTATGGCATCTTTCATTCGGTGTAAATGACCATACTAACTCAGCTGTTCTTTCTTATTCTGTTTATTTTGGTAGGACCTTTAATTCTTCTTAAAAGGTCATCTTTAGGGTCTATATCTGGCTCTTTTCCCGTTCCTTTAGTACCCATGATTCGCTGCAAAAACTAATAATTTTCATTTTTTTAAAGAAAATCAAATTAAAACGGTTTAAAAAACCCCACACAAAGTAGAATTGATATTAAGAGATTAAGGGAACCACAAACAAAGGAAACAAACTGTAAAAACTCTTACTGAAAATCTACGTAATGCCCAAGAACGGAATAAAAGTAGCTATAACATTGATCAGAAATAGGAAAATGTAAAAGCAATAATTAAAACAGCAAATGAAAACTTAAAACCAAAGAATAGAAAACATAAAGATTGGATGACTGAAGAAATACTACTATTAATGAATGAAAGAAAATCATTCAAAACAAAAAATCCAATTAAATATAATGAAACCGATCGATTAATAAAAAAGAGAATAAAAGAAGCTAAGGAGAGAATGTTACATGAGCAGTGCCAAGAACTAGAAGAAATTGAGAAAAAATATGACTTTTTTAACATGCATAAAAGAATTAGAGAATTAACAGGAATGAGAAAAACACTTCAAAGTAGGCAACTAAGAGATGAAAGGGGTGCACTCATAACAGATATAAACCAAAAAATGCAGAGATGGACACAATATATAGCACAACTTTTTGAGAAGACAAAGAGAGAACAGAAGCACCAAAGAATTTAAGGATGATACTGGGCCTGACATTATACGAGAAGAAATTGAATATGCAATGAAACAAGTTAATGTGGTAAATCTCCCGGGCCTGATGAAGTTCCTATCGAATTATTTAAAATTGTGAATACTGAATCTATTGATCTTCTTTTGGATTTATTCAATACCATATATAGAACAGGTATAATACCTATAGAATGACTCCAATCAACATTCATACTGCTTCCCAAAAAAGCCAATGCAAAGGAATGCAATGAACATCGCACCATAGCCTTAATGAGTCATGTCTTGAAATTGTTTTTAAAAGTAATTCACAATAGAATACATAAGAAATTAGATGAAGGCATAAGTAATACACAAATGGGATTTAGGAAAGGACTGGGAACACGAGATGCACTGTTTGCATTAAGTGTTCTTTCACAGAGATGCTTAGATATTAATCAAGAAGTATATGCCTGTTTCATTGATTTTGAGAAGTTCAAAGTTCAAACGAACTGACCAAGGATATCCAGATTCGCCGTGGTGTCCGCCAAGGGTGTATTTTATCATCCTTGTTATTCAATTTATACAGTGAAGCCATCTCAGAATTAGCGCTTCCGAGAACAGTAAGGGCGTTATAATAAACGGTGGGCCACTTAATAACAAAGATATGCCGACGATACCGTCCTTCTGGCAGAACACTAGAAGAACTGCAACACTTGCTGAACAACTAATATATATAGCAACGATTATGGACTAAAAATTAATTTGAAGAAAACCAAGTTCATGGTATTTACAAAAGCACAAAACATCAAAGTTAAGCTAGTACTAGATAATACAGAAATTGAACAAATATCTTCGTACAAATACCTTGAGCATGGATCACAGAAGATACTGATCAGACAAAAGAAATAAGATGCCGCATTGAAATTGCGCGGTCAACTTTTAATAGAATAAGAAAACTTTTTTGTAATCGCGATATCAATATATCGCTCCGGATAAGAATGCTTCGATGTTATATTTTCTCTACCCTTTTGTATGGAGTTAAAGCTTGGACACTTAAAAAATCCAACATTAAAAACCTAGAAGCATTCGAAATGTGGTGTTACCGACGTATTTTGAAAATATCATGGATGGATCGCAAAACAAACGAACAAGTTTTCGAACAACTAGGAAAACAATGCGCAGTTTTAAATTCCATAAAATCAGGAAATTGGAATACTTGGGGCACATCATGAGAGGTGAAAAGTACGAACTACTAAGGAATATAATGCAGGGTAAAATCAAAGGCAGAAGAAGCGTAGGAAGACGTAAAATCTCGTGGCTACGCAATCTCCGTGAATGGTTTGGATGCAGTTCAATTGAACTATTCAGACGACTAACCAATAAAATTATAATTGCCAGAATGATTTCCAATCTGTGATAGGAGTGGAACTTGAAGAAGAAGAAGAAATCAAATTAATCGTATCGTTTTCTATACGCTTCTGCTAATTTTGCTTCCTTCTTGGTAGCCATAATAGATTTGGCGAACTATGTCTGACCTATTTTCTTACCACTCTTTATATAGTTTTGTCCTCTTTTTCTTTTTTCTTGAATTTTCTTTCATCACCACCAGGTCTCTTGATTTTCAAATTTCTTTTTTTGAGTTTTTTTAAATCTTTCAATGGCAGTATCTCTAATAATACTTACCATATTTCTACAAGTTGTATTAGAAATTTCTTTTACATTTTTGATTAAATAAAAGGCAGATATCGAGCACAGTTTAATTAATTTAATCTTGACCAATTACTTTCGCTCCCTATAGCACCTTCAGCAGCATTTTGTCAATTATGGCCTATCCAACAAAAACAAAATGTTGATGAAATGCCCCTGAAGATGCTCTAGGAAGCGAAAGTACTTGAGCAAGATTAAATTAATTAAACTGTGCTTGATATTTTATTTGATCAAAGTTCATTTATTTAAGCATTCAACTTATATAAATTTCTTTTATGTTTTAGCTCATTTTTTCAACTATCTTTGCCTCAAAGAAAACTTCTCATATTGTTCTATCCACCATTTGATTTGTTTTTTAGATATTTTGGTTTTGATTAGCTTCTTATTTCAATTTCCAGCACAAGCAACTTAAGTTAGCAATAATAGATGGTTAAAAAAGCATGAAGTAAGGAACTTTTGTGGACACAAGAAAACATTTAATAGCTTTAAAAATTTGACAGACAATAGAAGCATTGTGGAGAAAGTTAGAAACAAATTCCTATACTGAAAAGTAATTTATGCTTAGATTTATTATTTGCTTTCCAGTAAAACCAAATAATTTCACCCCGATGCAATGTATTATGTCCCTCCTAATTACCCCATTTTTAGCCGATGCGATATCTATTTATAACACTCTCTGCATAAAACCGTAATTAAGCTGAAATGAATATTTAAAATTAATTCATTCTAAATGACAAAAAGAGACTCATTAAAACGAACCAAAATGAATTCATGAATGGAAAACATCTTCGTTAAAATTTTTTAACCCTTTCATTTATAAACGTTTTAGGTTTGATAATTCAGTTAATATTTAATATAAATTTCATTCGGATTTTAAAACCTTTTTGCTATACTAATAGGAATTTATTATTTCTTTATTTAAAATTAATATCTTTTTTATCCACGAATAATTAAGGGATATATTGATTTTAGAAAAGACAAAAAAAATCTAGCTAATATTAAATCTGTAAACAAATTTTCGAAACAAAATTCAGATTTTTGCTTTAATCTGTGCCTTCTTAAAATTGCAAGGCAAAACAGACGTTGATAAACATGTTATTAAAGCCATGGGGAATCTAAAAATTGCATTTCACAACATATCTCCTAACTAAGCAAAAATCCTAGCGAATTTTTAGATTCCCCATGTCTCTAATACCATCTTTATCAACATCTGTTTTGCCTTGCAATTAAAGAAAAAAGAAGGCACATATTAAAGCAAAAATCTGAATTTGGTTTCGAAAATTAGTTTACGGATTTAATATCAGATGTCGCTATTTGCGTTCATACGAGGCCATGTTAGAGTTACTTGTTAAGAGAGAAGAGATTTATTTTCACGTTCAGAACGATTGTGAGTAGCCGTTCTAAAGAGCCCTTTTAGGACGAAATACGTATAATCGAATATACAGACGCATCAAATAAATATTATTAGAAAAGAATTCAAACCAATAATTAACTTTTGTAATGATAAGGAAGGTAACTTACTGACCAACAAAGAGGATATCAATTTACGATGGGTAGAGCACTTTCGAAAGTTGCTGGAAGGGGAACCTACTAACAATATAGAGCTGGAATACTCGTGGAACCCCCCTCGGTAGATGAAGTGAATTAAGCACGATGGAAAGCAGCTCACCAAAGTGATGAGAAAATTGTTTGTAGAATTTGGTCTGAACTGTATATGACAGTGTCTTAAGACCAAGTCTTTACAACGCTATGAATGAGTTAGGAATTTCAAAAAAACTCATATGTTTGATAAAAGTGACAATGGCGAAGATGCTATCAGCAGCAAAAATTCAAAACGAACTGGTCAACCCCATTTGAAATACATCGGGGGTTAAGCAGGGAGATCGCTGACGTGTCAGCTTTTTAATGTCGCCTTAGAAAAAGTTGTACGAGACGCTAATTTAGATAGCAGGGGAACAATATTTAATAGATTAGTCCAAATTGTAGCATATGCAGACAACGTGGACATTATAACAAGAACTAGGGCGAGAACTGCGAAAATCCTAACCGAGCTAGTAGCAGCAGCAGAACGAATGGGGTTACATATAAATCAAAATAAAACCAAATTCATGGCGACTAACATAAACACAAGAGCTGGAAATGCTGACGCAAATTTCATCATCAATGACCAAAACTTCGAATCAGTCAAAGAGTTCATATATCTAGGGACATCGGTTAACCCCAATAATAACACATCTGAGGAAATAAAAAGGCGAAAAATAATTGCAAATAGGTGTTATCGTGGTCTATCAAATTACTTAGCTAACAAACGTCTGTCTCAAAAAACTCGTATAAGGCTAAGATATAACTTTGAACTGCAGATGTCTACAAGCATACGTTTGGTGGTAAAGATATTATCACTGTAATTAAGCAAAACTGCCTGCAGTGGCAGGACATGTAGTGGCCCGAATCAAACAGATAAAAGATTCTAACGCGCAACCCGTTGGAATGAGAAGACGGGGTAGACCAAAGCTGAGGTGGATGGATGGGGTAACACAAGATGCGGAGAAGAACGAAGTCGGCAACTGGAAAATGCAAGAAAGGGACAGAACAGACTGGCGTAGAAAGTTTGAGAAGGTCGAGGCCCTCTAAGGGTTGTAGCACCAAGATGATGATGATGGTGAGGATACACAGACGCAGTATACGTGAAATCAAATCTTAACTCTCTTTTCCATCTAGCTGATAATTTATAAATAGAGAAAAATAAGGAACATATTACAAATAACTGCTGCAGAATTCCAAAGAAAATCAAAAGACATTCAAAACTCAGTAGAAATACAAAGAACAAAGGCATCTACCAATAGATACAGTAAACAGCCATTTGAAAATTAAAAAATTAAAGAGTAAGTGGACCGGCTAATATTACCACAGAACTGATGAAATATGGATCGGATACATTAAAAAGAATGGTAAAAGATATGCTTTTTTTTCTGCTCGTTCCATAACCGTTATCTAACGTATACTAACCGTTTTATATAGAAATCTTGTATCATTGTCCATGACCTGCCTAGCTTTTTCTGCCTTACTATGGTGCAATTCTAAGCATCATTTGTTATTATTTTGTTTTGGTGTTTTGCCCTTGATTGTCACTTGTAACATATCACAACGTATCACTGCGTGGTTAGCAAAATGATGGAGTAGAAAAACGAAATGTAGGAAACCAATTAGGAAATGGTGAAGTAATTTGTGGTTCTTTCCTTATTGCCTCTTTCTTCCTGATTTTAAATATTTAACAAGAGTTTCACTACGCCTTTTAGTTACTGCAAACACGACTTGAAATGCCTGACACTTTGGACTATTTTTTTACATTTGCATAAAACCTAAGAGAGATAATATAAATTATTGATTTTATACGCCTATCTACTAAAGAACACTTGCAATCCTTCAAACTTTATATCTTCAACCATTCAAACATCTATGCGCGATTTTGTACTGGAACTTTCGCTAAGCATAATCTTAGACAAAACCGTAATCCTAAAGTTTTATACAGCTGCCATTCTTTTCTTATTTCGTGCTCATTTACAATAATTTTGTTATTATTGTGAACGAGTACAGAGGGAACTCGTTTCTTAAATAGTTATTGTTTCTTTTAGTTTTTTGTACACATTAAATAAGTCGTATTTAGATATTACATCCTCCATTTCGTCGCACCTTTCTCTCATCCATTTTTCCTTGGATAATTTGATCTCATTTTTTATTCTCCTCTGCAGGTTCTATATTTTGTTTATTGGATTTTATTAGTCAACGTTGTTCCATTAATTACAAGATGTCGTCTGACATCATTTATTTTTCTTGATTAAGTTTTTTTCTATATAATCATTGTTTGTGAAGATTTCGTTAACTTGGTTGTTAAATTTACTCCATAGTTCTTCTGGATCTTCTAGTTGTTCTACGATGTTTTTTATTCTATTGTTAAATTCTTTTTTACTGTTATGTTTTATGTTTATATTGTCAAAGTTAATACAATGTTTTTTGGTTTTTGTCGCTGAATTCGTTTTAACCTGAGTTTATTTAATACTTGCTACAAGTGGTTATTGATCAGATCCAATATCTGCTCCAGAAAATGTAGTATTTTATTGGCGGCATTTCGGAAACGTTTATTTACAAGTATATAATATATTTAATTTCTTAAGGACTCAGGGATATTATATATAGTCCCAAGATTCCTAAGAGGAACATAGGGCTTCCACAAAGTGTCTCCAGCGAACTCTATTTCTGGCTAGTGCTTTGATTTCAAGCCAGGATTTTCCCATTGTTCTCCCTTCGTCCAGTACTGTCCTTCTCCAAGTTCCCTTAGGTCTGCCTACTTTCCGTCGACCTTGGGGATTCCAATCCAGCGCTGTCCTGGCAATGTCATTTGGCGGTCTAACGGAGTGTGTGGCCCATCCATCTCCATTTTCTTCGCCTTATTTGCTTTATGACATTTTCTTGGTTGCTTTGGTTCTATAAATTTTCATTGGAGATTCGGTTAGGCCAAAATATACGATAGGGATATTGCCATCATTAAATGGGGCTTTCCAAGTATGTAGCCGTCGCTTGGGTAGTTTATACCAGGTGTTTGCAATGACCGTATCGTTTTCTTTACAAAACTCATACAATCTCTGTCCTCGATCGTTAGGTTGTCCTAGACCATAAGGACCGACAGTCTGACCCGTCGTCCTTCTCCAATTTTTTGTTGAAGTCGCCTATAATATATAAAATTTCAGGATTATTGAGTTTCTGCAAGATGTCTTGGATTTGATCATACAACTTCTTGACTTCATCGTCATATTTTCTATCTGCAGTCGGGACATAGATTTGAAGTATGTTAGTTTTAAATGGTTGAGTATTTATTTGGAGTAATATTCTATCCGAGACTGGTACGAAATTGGTCACATATTTACTCAGTTCTGATGTCACTAATATACCTATACCATTTTTGTGATGATACGGGTCTTCTGTGCTGTTACCGGAATAATATAATACACTTCCGTCCTTTTTACATGTTCCTGACTCTGGCCATCTCATTTCGCTGATTCCCAGTAGGTTGATTCTTTTCATTTCTTGAATTGCGTTGTCAAATTTTGCAGCCTCAAATAGATTTTCAAGATTCCATGTGCACATAAAATTAGTTTCTTTATTTTAAGGATTTTTTCACAAGGTTTTCGCATATTTACGATCTGATAGGCCTCGTGGTATAAATATGTTTCTCCTCTCCTATCTAATATTGGCCTTAGCTTTCCATGATTAGTAACGTTTTGAATAGCAGTGTCAATTCTATGGTGATTTTCCTATGGTGCTCTATGATCCGTTAATGCAGTGGTTTATTCACCTACGTGACCGTTTTCTTAAACCCGGGCAAAAGAATGTCCTACCACTCACCAACTTATCCGCCCTAAGCCGTCACGGTCAGTAAGTGGGGAGCTGTTTATACCAGCAATAACTACTATGAATATTAGTATGACTACTTAGACCTATTTTTCTAGCATAATAATTAAGGATAGTTTATTGACCCGTTCACATTCAAATTTAACCCCCTCTGTGGCTCAGTAGTAAGAGCGCCTACCTTTAAACCTAAAGGTCGTGAGTTCGAATCTCATCTGGGTGAAGAAATTTTCGTTTATTAAAAATTAATGAATGAAAATAATTTCTATCCTTGTGCGATCGGTACTCACCGGAGGGACCGCAGACGTTCGGATACAATTAGCGTCTCTTAGCAAAGACAATGACGTCGACTTTGCTAAGTATCAAGACAATTACTCTACACACACAACACACACACACACACACACACCACACACACACACACACACACACACACACACACACTACACCTCAAATTGTAAGATTGGCGAAAGGATTTAGTCTCCGCAGTCATTTAAACACAGACAAACAACAACAACACATTCAAATTTCCATATCATACCTGAAATCGGAGCAACCATGTATACTTTTTAATTATCTCTATTACAAATGTACGTAGTTTATTAGTTTTCACGTTCTGCATAAATTATTGGTATAAAGGAATCGGTATTTTAGATGGTTTAGTGATTTACGATCAATAATAATTGTATTGTTGTGAATATAGTTCATAGAGGAGTAGATTTAAAATTATTTTCTATTTAAAAATTAAATTTATCTTAAAAATTATAATGAATGGGGCTACAGCTATTCCTCCCCAAATATTTTGTCGGAAGTTAACGAATATCATTACCAAAATTTATATAACTTTCACCAAAACTCAAAGCTTTTAATAATTCATTAATTTAAATGTTTAAAAATAATTTATGCTATATCAACTTATCCACTTCGATATGGTTTGCAATTAGTAGGCATTTATTATTAATAAATCAGCTTATTGCCTAACAAATAATTATTAATTTTATCCAAAGCATAAATGCAAAACGAAATGATTATGGATCCAACCAAAATATATGCAATTTGTGTATATTAATCAAGGAAAGTCATATGCTAATTATTTGAGTGGTCAAATATGCCTGTTTAAAGCTTTATTATTCTTGAATGAATGACACGCAATCATAGAATTAATGTATTTTGGGAATGTAGGGATTGATATGCTAAAATATTTAACTAGAAATCATATTCCGAAACAATAGCTCTTTAATAATTATACATAATGCTGACGTATACAGAACGGTACTTCGAATATTGCTTTCAATGTTCTGTTATTTTCTTTGTTCATTTATAAAAATACTTTAATGAATATTCAAATTTTAAAATTCTTTATTTTTAATAATTAGAGTCTTCTTCTTGAGCTTTTTTCGTTTCAGTGGTCGATGTTTCATACTCATTTTTGTCCATCGTTTCTTCTTAATTTAAACCGCTATCTCTCTCTCTCTCTCTCTCTCTCTTTCTCTCTCCCTCTCTCTCTCTCTCTCTCTCTCTCTCTTTCTCTCTCCCTCTCTCTCTCTCTCCCTCTCTCCTCTCTCTCCTCTCTCTCTCTCTCTCTCTCTCTCTCTCTCTCCTCTCTCTCTCTCTCTCTCTCTCTCTCTCTCTCCTCTCTCTCTCTCTCTCTCTCTCTCTCTCCTCTCTCTCTCTCTCTCTCTCTCTCTCTCCAAACTATTGCAGTCTATGTCCTTGAAACTTTTTTATTTCTACTATCCCCGTCTGCAGAAGTCAAAGTATAGAAATTCTTCACTTGTCCTAGTCTTATTTAAGCAATTTGATATAGGTAACGAATTCTGACAAGAGCTATAGAACATCCCAGAGGTACTTTTCAGTGCGTCACAGTTTTTCGATTTCTTTCTAATGCATTAAGTTTAATGTGACGGAGAAAGCGGTAGTTCTGTGATTAAACAGAACTATATTGCAGCGTTAGAATAAGCGTACATACATAAGCGGTTCTTTCCTAACTTACCTTTGATTCGTTGATATTTAGATGCGCGCTTTCTCTAGCTAATCAAATACGCCTATTACTGATAGTTGACGTAAAACTTCGTCGATGCTGGCCATTCTTTTGAAGTGTTCAAACAGCAAGTGACGGCTGTCGTTCATGTCAGTATTTGCAGTATATTCTTTGGTATTTGTTTTGTGTAATTTTATTTTGTACTTTGTTTTACATAGTATTGTGATTGTGGTTTTATTTGTATTTCTACAAGATGGCAACTTATACGGA